CAATAGAGAGCGTAAAAGTAGCAAAATATAACCAAAAATAGCAAAATTTTGGCCACTATATGGAAAATTGACTGTATGGAGAGTCACTATATGGAGCGTAAATAACATTACAGGTATACAGTGACCGCCAATTAATTTTTTTTCGGGCACTATATGGAAAATCCACTATATGGAGAGTCACTGTATAACGTTAAGAACGATTCCCATACTATAGTACAGTATATGTTGGGTTTCCCATAAACGGAGAAATTTGTCGATATTTGTCAAAATTTCTCATTTTTGGCAACATTAGTAGATTTGATATTTTTATTTAATTAATTTAAACACAAATACCTGTACACAAATAAAATTATTTTTTATAATTTTTTTTAAACAGATAACATTATAATTAAAATACATTTTAAATTATTTGCTATAAATATTCCAATTAATTGTTGAGGAAATCCCGGAATAATTTGTCTGGTTTTTATTGTCATAAATTATAATATTACTGTATATAATAGTGCAATAATACTGTAGTTACAAAAATTAATAATTTTATATAATACTTGTACTCTGTATATAAAATACTCTTTAAATCATAGGAAAGATTAAAACAGTAAGAATTGTAATCAAAAGTAATAAAACTATTTATATAAACAGGTCATTTACATGAAAGCATATAAATTATATAACTCTATAAACATACTGTGCATATGTTTATTATTGCGTTAAAGTCTACTAAACTATATTTTGAAAAATTTTGTATTTTATTCTAAAAATTTAAATATTTTTAAAATGAAATATTTTTAAAATGAAATATTTTTAAAATGAAATATTTTTAAAATAAATAAAAACTTTCAAAATTATTGTTTAAAGTTTAGTTCTTAAAGGGCTCAATCTATAACATAGTTTGTAAAACAATATTTGTCCTGGGTAGTTTATTCTAACCTTTATATCAAGCTAGTGTAAAGTTTATAAGATATATCAAGTCAATTTTACTTTTTTAAATTAATTTAATAATTTGACATAACTTTTAGGTAAATTGATAATTAATGTCAACAAATAGTGAACATTATTTGTACGGACAGTTGACCGCCGGTAAAGTTGGATGAGTCAAAAGTTTTGACTCAAAACACTAACAAAATTAACAATAAAGCCTTTGACACCAATATATTATCAAAATATACTCAAAAACTCGTGTTTCAAAACTTTTTGTCAAATTTGACAGAAATTAAGCCCAGATTTAAAGATTTTGTAAAATATTCCATAAAAACCACGTCTTTTAGAAGTGATGCCAGAATTGAAGCCAAATTCGTGGCAAACGTACTAATTGTTGAACAAATGTATTATGAAATGCTTGGGATTGAAAATGCTATTGAATGGCACATAAGGACATACATTGGACTCTTCCAGCCCTTTGCACATTATATTTATGCGATCGATGGCATCGGCTTTTATACGTGTATATCACTCGCATCCTAACCATCCCTACCATCCCTCACATCCCTGAACAGCACATACAGTGCTGAGCACTCAATGGTGTAATGAAAGGCGATTTGCGATTAGATGTGTTACTGAGGCCTAACACACACTCTCTCAATGAGTGGATCTGAATGTATGGCTTATGTCATACACTGTAGAAGCAGTTGAGAGCCAATTATACATCGCTTTACCTCTACTTTGCAGTTGTTTTTCGCATTTAAGTCAAAATCTTAGTGTCATTTAGTGAACAACTTTTGCTTCAAATCCAAAGTCAAGTGAATAACAACTCATTCTTCAAGTCTTTAGTTTTCGTAACCATTACTGCAGACAAATGTCCGTCAAAACAGACGCCGACCGCAGGAAACAGATCTCTGTCCGCGGAATCGCCGACGGTATGTACGGCCCACTGATGGCCACCACTTACGGCCAACTTCTCGGACCCAATGATATATAGCCTATGATATGCTAATATGAATGGTTTGTCTGAATATCTAGTGGGAAATGTGACCGAAATGAAGAAGTCCTTCAACCGTCACCTTCACTACAGTCTCGTGAAGGACAGGAATGTGTCGACCGCTCGGGACTATTACCAGGCGTTGGCGCTCACAGTCCGCGACCATCTCGTCTCTCGATGGATACGAACTCAACAGAACTATTACGAAAAGGATCCCAAAGTAAGACAAAACTACATTCATATCATTACCAGAATCGCCATTATATGAATAATTCTGTGTTTTTTGTTAACAATTTTTCAAATGCATATTAAATGGTATTATTTATTGCAAATGTTTTTGAACATGTTTTTAGTTAGAAATGTAAAGTTTTCCATAGTTTTATGCGAGAGAGCAATGAATTGGTGCCGAACCTGTTGGCGCTCATAAGCATTGGTGACCTTAGCCTTGATTTAATATATACATGAAATCAGATAAAGTTTGCAATGATTTTCAATCACTTGTATTACATGTGATTCGTTAGTATTGAACACAGAATTAATGAAAATGAGTGACAAATGTGACAAAAAAATAAAATGCAATTTTGTATTGCCATTGAAAGCGCGTTTACTACCTGTCCCTGGAGTGGTATGTCGGCCGACAGCTCACTAACACAATGATCAACATTGATGTGCAGACGGCTTGCGATGAAGCACTGTATCAGTTGGGACTCGACATCGAAGAGCTCGAGGAGTTGGAAGAGGACGCGGGTCTTGGAAATGGAGGTTTGGGTCGTTTGGCCGCCTGTTTCCTCGACTCGATGGCTACTCTGGGAATCGCCGGCTATGGCTATGGATTGCGCTATGAATACGGAATATTCACGCAAAAGATTGAGAACTGCGAACAAGTGGAACAGCCCGACGATTGGCTCAGATTTGGTAATCCGTGGGAAAAGGCGAGACCCGAGTACTTGCTTCCCATCAACTTCTACGGCAAAGTAGAGAAGACTGAGAGCGGCTCCAAATGGGTGGACGCACTCACCATCTATGCAATGCCTTACGACAGTCCTGTCCCCGGCTTTCGCAATAATGTTGTCAATACAATGCGTTTATGGACTGCGAAATCGCCGACGAGTTTCAATTTGAAATTCTTCAATAACGGCGACTATATTCAGGCCGTTTTGGACCGCAATTCTGCCGAAAATATTACCCGAGTTTTGTATCCAAACGATAACGTATTTGAAGGCAAAGAATTGCGTCTAAAACAGGAATATTTCTTATGCGCGGCAACTCTTCAGGACATTATTAGACGCTATAAGTCATCGAAGTTTGGTTCCCGAGAATACGTGAGAAATTCTTTCGACGCGTTCCCCGAAAAAGGTTTATTGAAAACATGCACTCAGTTTAAGATGTATATAATGACACCAAATATATTGTTTAGTTGCGATACAATTGAATGACACGCATCCGGCTCTGGCCATACCTGAACTGATGAGAATCCTCATTGATATCGAGGGCTACACTTGGGATAAGGCGTGGGATATCACCAGAAAAACGTTTGCCTACACTAACCACACAGTACTGCCGGAAGCGAACGAGCGCTGGCCCTGTGGTCTACTTGAATATGTGTTGCCCCGACACATGCAGATCATCTATGAGATCAATCACAGGCATTTGGACGCCATCTCCAAGTTATACCCCAATAATATGGATAAACTAAAGGCTCTGTCTTTGATCGAAGAGGAGCCCGAAAAGAAGGTCAATATGGCTCACCTGGCGATCGTTGGCTCTCATTCAATAAACGGTAACTTTGATTATTTGGCAACACTTTGTTTGTTCACAAGACTGATGACAATTCTCTTCGAAACAGGTGTTGCGGCCATTCATTCAGAAATTATAAAACGGGAGACATTTAAAGACTTCTTCGAACTCTCGCCCGAGAAGTTCCAAAACAAGACGAATGGAGTGACGCCCCGGCGATGGCTATACATGTGTAATCCGAATCTCTCTGATCTGATCAGCAGTAAAATAGGCGACGAATGGATGGTTCATTTGGATCAACTCCAGAAACTGAAGCCATTAGTAAATGATCCGCAATTCGTGAGAGCCGTGCAAACTGTGAAACAGGAAAATAAGTTACGACTTTCCGATCTGCTCTACAAACTGTATGGCATTCAAGTGAACCCGTCGTCAATGTTTGACGTTCAGGTCAAACGAATCCACGAATACAAGCGACAACTTCTCAATTGTCTTCACATGATTACACTTTACAATCGTATCAAACGAGACCCGACCGCCGACTTTGTTCCCCGAACTATAATGGTTTGCATGAAATTCCTGTGTTTTATACTTGTATTAAATTGTTGTCACATTATTATGAATAGGTTGGCGGCAAAGCAGCGCCGGGTTATCACATCGCTAAGCAGATAATCCGTCTCATCAATCACGTGGCGGCTGTTGTTAACAACGATCCAGTGGTCGGCGATAGACTTAAAATTATATTCCTCGAGAACTATAGGGTCTCATTCGCTGAGAAGATTATTCCCGCAACCGATTTGAGTGAACAGATCTCTACCGCCGGTACAGAAGCGTCTGGAACTGGAAATATGAAATTTATGGTTAGTATTAAGCTTTTGATTACCGAAGTCGAAGAATACGGTATTTCTGTGGTTTTAATTTCTAAGACAATATTAATACAAACAAACAGATGAACGGAGGCCTTACTATTGGCACTCTTGACGGCGCGAACGTCGAGATGAGGGAAGAGATGGGCGCAGAAAACTTCTTCCTCTTCGGCCTCAATGAGCACGAAGTGGGAGAATTGCATAGAAAAGGATACAATGCTTGGGATTATTATAACAAGAATCCAGAGCTGCGTAATGTCGTCGATCAGATCAATAATGGCTTCTTCAGCCCCAATAATCCGGATCTATTCAAAGATGTGGTGAATGTACTCATGAATCACGACCGCTTCCTAGTGTTTGCCGATTACGACGATTACATCCAAATGCAGGACAAAGTGTCGCTCGTGTATACCGTGAGTAGTATTGATTGTAGCCATTGTTTGAATGGTGTTTAATTGGGTTGAATGTAATGTAGAATCCGGAAGAATGGACTAAAATGTGTATCATTAATATCGCCACTTCGGGCAAGTTTTCCAGCGACCGCACGATCTGTGACTACGCGCGCGACATATGGAATGTGGAGCCGAGTTGGGACAAACTGCCCGCACCTCACGAGCCGGTAGACGAGGCCAAAGCCAGTACTACTGCCGCACACACTAACGGCGCCGCGAGGGTCGCCGCCGCTAACGCCAAATCTGTCAAACAAGTCAAAGCTTAAAAAGCATTTACAATACTATGAACTGTTTTTAATCGTTACATTAGTTATGAAATCTAGACTTTATCTCAAAAATGGCAATAATTATCTTAATTTTATTAATAATAATGATCTATTGATTAGAGCTCTCTATATATAAAATTGAATTATAACTGAAAGTCTGATTATATCTGATGTTTGTTATCGAATCATGTTTTATTCTAATTAATAAAATTTTATTTTCAATTCAAGTGTGAACTTCATTATCATCTGTGGTGGCGGTGCCATCACTGGTCTCGAGAGACATGCCATCCAAGGCTTTCACTCGTTTGTCTTTGAGTCTCTGTCTATCCATTTGTGTTATATAGCTCTCGAGTGATCCGTATTCGGCAATGAGTTGTATTCGTGAGAGTTGTTGACTCTGTTTGTATTGCCATTTCTTCGTATATGTTTCCCATCCCTTATCCTTCGTATAGTAAAGTGGTTTTTGTTTCGCCGGTTGTATTACTCTTCCGTTATATATAAACATATCGTAATCGAGTATCTCATCCGCACTGATCTCCTCATCGGTGCGACACTTGTTTGTAGGTTTGGCCAACACTTTGGGGTAATCGTAGTCACCGACCAGTTCCACGACATTCAGACCTTTTTCGTCGGCCATTTGTTGATATGTCTTCTGGTTTTGGAGTCCATTAAAGAAGGCTCTGGTAATGTGGAGGTAGTTCTTATTGGCGCCCTCGACCTTACAGTGGATGTCCGTCAGACCCAACGCCTCGCAAATGGCAGTCACGCACCGGTGGGCCCGCACTCCATATCCTTTAGGCATTTTACGGACAAACAGTTCTGTCGCCCAAAACTTGGAGTAAAAGTTATGGTAAAGAGAGTTCCCTTCGTATAGATTCATGTATTGGAGACGTTGTGCCGCTTTATTCTTCGACTTAATCAACGCTGTCTTACTGTCTATGTGTTTGCCGACCGCATAACCGGCCAAACCGTTCACATTCCCCGTCACTGACAGACAATAATATCGTTTATGTTTACCAAAAATAGCTGTCATTTTAAAAATCGGTTTCAAAGCCAATACTTTGGTGTCAAAGCCGACAAACTCTTCGCCGTAGACGGGGTCCGGGGGTCCGATCCAACGGCCGCCCATTTTAGTGCCGCTCCAACCCCTCTCCAGAGGGTGTACTTTAGCCGCTGAGAAGCGTTTCATACGACTCCTAGCAGTGGCCAGATTCTGGTCAAACATCTCGTCTTTGCCCAACGACTTGAGCCGCAGTGTCTGTCGGCCGAGAAGTACGGGTGCGTTAAGTCCAGGCCATACCATCCGCTGTCGGCCGACACCAATACGCTGTCCTCTGTTGAGGTCGTGTTTCATGATTTTGCCGCCTCCGCCCTTACGGCCCCTCTTCGCTGACATTTTGCTCACTCCCATCGCTCCCCTCCATAACTGATCCCCTTTTACTGTCCACACAATCAAAACAATTAAACAATCAATTCATGCATTCATTCATTAGTCAAACCTCTCGTATAGAAAGAGCTGTTATTTCGGACAAATTGGGTGTTTATTAAGACATTTGTTTGCGTCAAATGACAACAATTATTGGCGATAGACGTGAATGTATGGCAAACACGGGTTAAACACAAACCAAATCTAAACATAATTTAGTCGTTAATTGAATTGAATTGAAGAAAATCATGTGTTTTTGAGACCAAAACACAACACATAAGCGAGTGTTCAGTGAAAACGACTCCAAATATACGGCCATTTATGGCCCACTTTAGCACTCATTCAATGCTTGCATTCATATAACAAACAAAACGTTTTTATTGAACACTAATCCACTGTTTTGTCACATGTTTTATACAAGTTTTGCAAAACTATTATGTGTTTAATAATTAAATTTAATTGTTATTTATTTGATTAATTAATTATGAGTTTATATGAATCGCTCATTAGATTCAGTAAAAGTCATTTCGCCAGATATGGCCTTCCATTCATTGTATGCATTCATTCATTACTAGATTTATTATTATTTGTTTTGATTGTTAACTAAATTGTGTGCAAATGTTATGTCATTTATAATAACTATTTTAATAACTATTTTATAGTTACTCTTAAATCAATTATTATAACAACTGATTATAACGTTGAATAGATTTGAGACTTATATAGTTGTTTAGTTAAATGGCATTTGGTTTGCATATTAAATGATTGTTTTGTTAATTAATAATTGTTTTAATGGTGTAATCAATGGTAATGAATGCGTGGATCAGCTGTTTATAACGGGCGGCTCTTTTGCATTGAAGGAGTTCTCAAC